CAGTACAGCAAGGGGCATGTTTGTTCCGGCCTGTGTTTATGTTTTTCTCATGAACTGTTTGCACGAGATTTGGCGGTCACAGATCTGGCCACAATTGTGTGCATGTTTCTCTAGAGATTGCACGACCCCAGCGAAATTCTTTAATTATCAAATCATAAGCATGTTATTCGAGCAAACAACGGTGTTTGTTCGATCACGTTGACAAGAATGCCACGATGTACAAAGGACAAACTACTTAGGAGAAGGGTATGAGGCACTTATTAAAAAAAAGGGCAAACTTATTACATGAAAGGCAAACATGACTGGTTACGTGAACTGCAGTCTTGTGGATACACTAGATGGACTGTATATTTTCTTCTAAAAAAAGACTATCATACAGATGCAGAGGTTTGCCGTAAAGCTTACTTCACTTGTTGTTCTGTTGAATGTTGCTAGAGGTCACTTTGCAAATGGCAAACCTTGGCCACTAACTACATTGTGAAAGATGAAGACTAAAACTTTGTGATATATTTACTGACAGAATTAAAGGATAATGTCAAAGAATATGGTAAGAGTTGAAAGAAAAATACAGTAGTCTTGTCGTCCTTGCGCTTTTTAATGGGATTAATTATCTGTGGCGATTTATCTGTTGGGAATAAAGACATTGCCTCCATTTAATGAAGACAAATTTTATCAGGGCTGGACATCTTTGATAGCCGTCTCAAGGCCAATTTCCTCACTGTGTTTGTTTTCCTCCAGGGCATTCTGGGATACTTCCATTCTCTTTGGCCTGTCAGTTATCGTTATGACCATCCCGCAAAATTAATTAAAGGCCCGTCTTCTCGTAAATTTACCACTAATGAACCTCAAGTTTAAGATGATGGCTCCCACAAATATCCAGTTCCATCCACACAACCGCAGAGACCAACTGATTCAAGGAACAATGTACTTGCTGGATGGAAGAGGTTGGATAGTCTCAAAAGTTAGCACATTGTTTCAAAACAAAACCTTTTTTGCATGGCTTTGTAAAAACGTTAGGATAAACATAAATATCAGTACAATTGTATGTCTAGTCATGTGTCAGGAGTACTGGCAGGCAGCTCTTGTGGTGTACCAAAAAAAGAACATATTTTGTTTTGAAGTAATGTTGAAGTTTACCGACCAACCAGTAAAGAAAACACAGTCAATTTCAGGGGAAGCAATACGGCGACAGGACGACTTTGGTCCACTTGCCTTCTCTGGTAACTTCAAGGTCAAGACTGTATCCGCTGTTTCCTCGCTTATCGCCCGAAGGAAATTGAAGGAACCGACAAAAATTCCTTTCTTGACAGTCTAAACCCACAACCCGCTAATCCCATTTTAAAAGACGATCTGGTTTTGTCAAAAAAATGGTGTCAGTTGATGTGGTGACTCAAGTACTGTAAATCACTTTATATTTGCGGTACTTTTATATTCGCAGTTTTCACGGTCACTTCTGTACCACAAAGTTATCATTACTGCGAACAAATAATTTGCCAACTTTCTTTCTTCTGCACAATAGCAAACATTTTAGTTCTGCGAATATGTCAATTTTTCTCAGACTGTGAAGTTTTGCTACCGTAAATATAAATTGATTTACAGTACATGTGTCACCGGAATAATGTTGGCAACAGGAAAACCCACTCCAAAAAAAAGAGACAGCAGTGTGGTAATGGACTTGAATTTCCAGCCTGGCTTGTCCTTGTCTCCGTCAAGTTTATTTGTTCCCCATTTCCCGGAAGTCTGCAGAAGTTTTCGTGGAACACAAAAGCTTTTAACGTTCTTCCAGACTCTGCAAAAGAAAGAAAAGGAAAGGGAAGTTTGTGGGGTAACCTGATGAAAGGGGCTTCTTCATTATTCTCCATTAGTTCTCCATTCTACCACAACTGTCTATAAAACTTTCAACGGTGAAAATTTAGCCTGGTTACCATGCATTCTTCACAGGCTGGTTTAGGAGTGTTTTACTGGCCCTAGTCTTACTAAGCATAGGCCTCTCTAGCCTGGATGCCAGACTCACAGCACATTGGGCCCAAAGTAGCACTTACTGGATATTACTCTGGGCTCAGTGTGCTTATGGGTCTGGCATCCAGGCTAAGGCCTAAGGCCTCCCCTGACATGCAATATCTTTCCAGCTGGTCTTTCCAACTACAGCTGGTCTTTCCAACTTTTAAATAGCTGTCCTGCACCAAACAAATTGAAACCAACCCCTAAAAAAACTCTAGTGTGCGCAAATGAACCTGGGTTAGTAGGCAGTACTCTCAGCACCGTAGAGATATCGGAAAACCTAGTACGATGTTCTGACTACCGGGCTACGAAAATTGGATACAAGACAGACTCGTAGACAGAAGTTAATAGGATTAATTTACCCTGAGGTGTTTGTTACAGACAGTCTGTTACAGTTCTGACCAATCACACGACAGCTAATTGTCTCTTAGAACCAAGTTAGAACAGAACAAGGATACTCTGCCACTTAAAACTTATCATAGGGAACTGTAGATGCCAGGCGTCATACCATTGCTTGTAACCACCTTGAAGGTCTATTATGGTAAGTAGGGAGCTTAACATCCTTGTTCACTTTGGTTTAAAAGGATTGGTTTAAAAGCCAATGAGACAAAAGTTGTTATAATAGCGTGACCAAAAGGTTCATTTTTCTGTATGAGTAAAATTAACTGAAAAGTGGATATGTTTGTTACATAAAGTGACAATAGCAACAATCTAAGTCTTTAAATTTTCATTATACTTCACATTATCTTTACTCGGATTATGAAGAGGCATTTATTTGCTATGAGGCATTCCATAATGTTGACTAGCAGACTGTGAGTGACAGGATATGTTGTGCAAATATACAAATATGGCCGCTACCTTGTCCAGTGGCACAACAGGCAGTCATCAGTCACGGTTGTCTCCCTGTGTGGTAAATAAAGACCTCATCCTAAATAGATAACCTAACTAGATGATGGGCCATTCATTCCTAATTCAGTCAGCTGGAAAGCACAATCTTCATTTCATGGATGGCATCCTTGTACAGATTGATTCAAAACCTATTTTTTTTAACTCTTACTCTACTCTTTCAAACCTTGCTCTTTTTTTAAGAATCAGAAGAGATGTTCTACGTTGATTGTCCCTAGCAACAAATTACTTAGTCATGCAAGCAACTGGATAAAATTATTAATCCCTCGAAGAAATAGACCATGCATGTATGTCAAAAAACATGGCAAAAGGAGCTACATTTTCATGTTCTGTTCTAAGGGGAGGTAGTGATTACAAATTACACAAATGTTTTTTTGCCGATTACGAATACAATAAATTCTCAGAGCTAAGTATGAACAATTATGCATTGTGGATAATGTACTGATTATGAATTACGTTGATTTTTGAGGCGACTGCCTACGAATTACGAAGGCAAAAAAGGCCTCACGAAAAAGGGTATGCAGGCCCTCGTAATATTACATCAGATTTGGAATTGTGTCATTCAGAAATTAAGATTTTGTATGACATTCTTGCCTCAGCAGGTGGCGTAAGTTTTGTTGGTATCAGTTTCCTCACAACCTGTGTGGCTTCCTCATGCTCAAGTTTTCTTGTGTTTTCTTACTGCCCTGAAATAAACAGAAGATGAGATCATCTTACCTCACCGCAGGACACCAATGTATCTTCCTTATAGGATGACACCAGTTGTCTCAAAGTCAAGGATCATCAGACCGTTTATCTTGTCTTGATTAAATCATTTCCTGTCAGGTTGTAATAATTATAACGCTTTTTCAGATAATTGAAATCAAAGAAAAAGATGGTATAAACAACGTAAACACAGAGTAGGTCATTGAAAACTGATGCAAAGGAAGTAAAATGTAGGTTTGTTGATTTTTCTTCTGAAATAATTAAATCATAATTTTTTTGCGGTACTTTTGTATTCACAGTTTTTGTGGTCACTTCTGTACTGCGAACTTATCATTACTATGAACAAATAATTTACCAACTTTCTTGTTGCTGCACCTGAGTATATATATAGTTCTGCAAACATGTCTATTTCTCTCAGACTGTGAACTTTTGCTACCGTGAACATATGTGATTTACAGTAGTTAACCATTCTGTTACGAAGCTACCCAAAGTGCTATTATCTTTTGCCCAATCTGTAATGATTGATTGTTATATGCCGTACATATTTATTAGACAGGTTGTGACAGTGACATTGTGGGAAAAAACATCTGACAGTCTGTTTCTAATAAGTTCATTACAGACCCATTGTTGTTAGAACAGAACATCCAGATACAAGTAATACTGGAATAAATAAATATCTCTGACATCTGTGATCTGCAATGGTCTTGGCCAGTTGGTAGGTTTTTGTACGGTACAGAAAAGTTGGACACTTTTACGTCATTTTCTCCAAGACTACTTTTTATGTCAGTTTCTCCAAGACTACTTGTTTTGATACACAGGGCAGATTCTGTACGTAACCTTATAGTTGAAATGGACAAGTATCAGGGAATAATTCCTACTACCCAAAATAGCTGCCCTATAGAGAAAGCTAGGATGTGTTGGTTCAAGGAAAACATAACCTTTCTCTAACTGGTGTCAAAATACAGCAGAAAAAAGAAACTCACAAAGAGATATTTTGGTCTGTGTTAGTGTTCCATAGACAAGGTCAGTCGACACACATGTGATTAAAGGGGTGATAAAACCTTTGAAGGAGGGTCCCGATAAACAATGTGCTGAGCCAATGGAAGATGACGTCACCATAGGACATTGTTGTGTCAGATTGTTCCTGTTTATGTTGTTTTGCAACCAAATGGTATAAGTTTCGAGCAGTGACACCAGCGCAAACAACAGTCAACAGAAGTAAACGGCAGTTCTAGACGTTTTTGCGAGAAAGACAGAAACAGTGACAAATATAGTGAACGGAACACACGCAGTGGCCTCTCGTCATTGTGATAGATTTGTGTGGACAGACGTTTTGGCTCAATGTTAAGCCTTGTTTTCGCGCATGATAGGAGGTGACATAATCTTGGAAAATCCTGTTATGGTGTATTTCCGACCCGCATTCACAACTGGCAGCGTATTTTCCCTAACAGCTAAAACGGTCTCCCAAACACGGGCCGTCGGATAGTTGCCTCACCGGGCAACCCCTCGTTTGCGGGACCAAAACATCCCTTCCGCCGCTCAGTTTGTAAACACTGCCGGGGCGCTCTCAATCACGCAGACGTCCTTTCTTTTATCTCTGTATGGGGATTGATGGAGAATTTGGAGGTATGTACTTGGTGAGTTGGTCCACATTTTGGCCACGTTACTAGGCGCTATTGGAGACCCAAGGCCGGACACATACATTAAATTACACTTTACGAGAGTTAGTGATCCTCACGAGGTATTGTTTTGTTGCCCGTTCTGGTATCAATAGCCAGGAACATAGCCAGGGAATAGGATGACAAGGTCATTAGTCGTAAACCACTTGGAAGGATGCCATACCTTCCAAGAACAGAAAAACGGTACCTCCCTACTGCACGTATATCTTTAGAAATGCCTAGTTTTGTAGGTAGTGTAGTATAAACCATTAGGTGTCCTGAATCTGGGTATTTGCCTCATTTATATAGTGTTTGAGGGCAATATGGACTTTCACCTTACACCGCTTCCTCAGATAAGCAGCAGTACGCTCCCAGAGCCTGACAGGGGCTTTTGTATTATGTCACTACAAAAGACTGTTGAAAGCTTTTGATCTAACCTGTCATTGTTGTTTTTAGCAGATTGTCTCCAAAGAGAGGGACTTTAGGGGGAAAAGCAGGTGCATTCAGCAATGTTATTTTTGTGTCTGCCCTGGGAGTTGTTACAATGTTCAACCCTGCATGCCCCATTTCTCTTTAGGCAACTTCTTATCTTTATGGGATTCTCAGAAATGGCACCATACTGTAAATAAAATTCTGTAGTTAACTTCTTGTCCTTTTTGTAAATTTCTGTAGCTGTACTTTACTTTATGCCCCTGGGAAGTTTCACATGTATACTTTGCCCTTGCACTACTTTCGTGCCCATGGGGCGTGGCTAACGTTACGTGCATATATCATGTTTTACTGTAGGCCAGGTAGGGTGAAGTGACCCTACATGCAGGGGGAGGCTAAGAAAACTTGTTTGAAGAACTTGTGTTGAATTAATGACTCTTCGTTAGCTGTAGTTGCTTTTTTAGCCTGTAGATAGCTGACACTAGTGACAGTGTTAACAACGTAGCTCACAGACAAATGGTAGGATATGGGGGGATTTATTCAAGGGCGTTTGATGTGGTTAAACTTTCCCTGGCGCCGTCCATTTGTCCAAAGGACAGGGATGATCCATGTCGAGTGCTTTTTTTGTGTGACCGGTTCACCGCCAGTTCAAGTGGACCGATGTCGCCAGTCGGCCACCCGTGTTTGTACGGCCGGCTGCCGAACAGGTCTCGTGTCAAGACAAGAGTGGCGGGCAAGACGATCTATCAATTGTCCCGCTAGTTTAATATTCAATTATACCCGGCATTGTTCCCTGGAAGCTCGAAGTTGCCATGGCGATGGTAATCTGAGGGGCGGGGACATCCTGGGGTATCCCATGTTGCCTTGGGGGGAGGGTATAAATAGTGGGTGATTTGTTGAGCGGCAGGCAGTGTGTTGTTGCAGCAGGTGTGGGGAACACGTGCTGGGTACAGAGTGTGGCCTTACCTTTGCGTGCCGACCATTGTTGTGGTAAAGCTGCCTGGAACGGCGCCAAGTATGGGGGACCAGTGCTCCAAGCCTAAGGTATGGGGGCTATTTGTTGACATATACCTCTTTTTATTTCAGCTTACACTGATGGGACAATATGACTGATATTGTGATATTACTGGCAAATGATTTTTACAATGTAGTTTCAAACAGTCCTGCATTTGAAATGCTTAGAAAAATACCATAGAAATCAAATCTGTGACATTATCTCAGGATGAAAGAACTTCTCAATACACATTTCTCTCCAGAAATATTTCAGACGTTGAAAGGAAGACTTTTTCATGATCAGAAAGCATTTCATCTGTCAGCTGCTAACATCTATATTAACAAGCCATGGATTTCTTTCTTCTTGCTTTCATGACAGTTGTACAGATGATAAAAATGTGCTTCTGATGTCTCTATTGAGAGTCAGTCATCAGAATAAAATGCCACTGTTTGGCATTCTCTGTATTTTTGTTTGTCGGCAACAGCCCAACAAAGTTATCAAGAGTGGAAGCCTCGGCGGACCTTAGATGACAGAGTTTAGGGACAACACTGCAAATTAATGTTTTCCACCAGAATAGGCGCGTTACTTCTGTTCGAGTGAGTCCGAAGGGTTCAAAAGTTTTGGGGCGGCTTGGGAAACACTTGGGGAATGCTGGATGGTGATCAGGCCAGCCTGTCCCTAATCAGTAGAGATAATCGTGAATGGATTTTCACAAAGGAATCAAAGGCACTACAGGGTGGGAGAGAGACATCAGAAGCCCCGCTTTGATGTCCGTCAAGTGAAATAATCATAATTGAAACTATTGTCGTTGCTTTTTTTTGTGTGGAGTGGATAGGAACACCTCTCTGGGAATCCCGGCTACTTCAAAGCGGTGGGAGAACGAAGTGATAGGATACTGATGTTTCCAGTTTGTATTGCTGACTTGACTCTACTTTGTCAGATGTTTGTTCCAGAGTGAAGTGTCAACATGTGAGGGTTGTGGCACGCTTGTACCTTTGTGTAACACAGATCAGAACCTTCTTGCAGGCTCATTATAAACAATGACAGCACAGCTTTATCATTCTGATCACTGTTTATCACTGAGGGAAGTTTTTGTGGCTTTCTGGGACTTGTTTACCACCAGTATACAAAGGAGTTGTTTTGAACGTACGTACTGTTTGACTCATGCTTTGCCGTTCAAAACACTCAGTAGCGCAGGAGGGGGTAAGTGTACAGTCAGACTACAAGAAAAAGCCATAAATAGCTACGGTTATGATATTTGACGATATCGGCCTTGCCTTTTTTCTGCCGATGGCCTTATCTTCAGCAAACTGTCCTTGGGACTTTGAGTTATGCCAGTCCTTTTGTGCCCAGCGATGGTGTTGTGTGCCGGCTTTATTGGGAGGGTATTTTACAGCTGCCACTTTTATTGCTTCCCTTTCAGTTCTTAAGCAAACTAATTACACAGCTCGTTTGCAAGAATTGTGAAGGTGTCCCCCTGTATCAAAACAGAGTTTCGTTTAATGTGACTTTATTGGGTAGCCTTTGTCGCATGGCTATACTGATTCGGTTTTGTGTACATTACAGTGTGCGTTCCCACTATGCCAAACTGAGTCACTTATAACAGACAGGATATGGGGACCCCGTCATCTCTTTGCCTCTCTAGGTCGGGAAAAGAGGGGAATGGTTGTTTGTGCACCTGCATGCTGGAGCCAGTTGTTGCGGTCCAAGTATATCTTACCTTGTACAAGGACGAGAAAATCCCCGGAAAAAAAAAGAAAATCTGTCTCAAGTGAAGTCATGGGTACGTGTTAGACTGTTACAGGTCTGCAAAAAATGCTCTTTATAACTTCAAAGAGTTTTTAATCTTAATTCCTTTTGACTGTCAACAGAAAAATTCCTTTTGAGTGAAACACTTCGTATCTGGGTCAGAAACATGTTTTTCACGCCGACTTTTATACCTTGATGATGTTGACAGAGTCAGAAAAGTTTCCTTCCTGTTTTGAACATCAAACAAGTTACTGTGATTCTTAAAAAGGAAATGAATGAGATCCTGCTCTCTTTC